TGACTTTATGGAACTGCTATTGTTTTGTTAGGGTCAAAATATATTGGAGGACCAAGATTCTTTTCTATGTCTCAACTTAATTTGGAGTTGCAATAACTTGCTATATGAGCCTCACTCTTGCAAGAACACATCAGTTTGTTACAAGAAAACAATGTTAAATATCGACTGGCACGACATTTTACCTTTCTTTTACTTTGACGAATTCTTTCACGACAGTTAAACCTAAAAGTCCTTTTATTTAATAGTCTTTTAGCATTAACATAACAGTACAATGTAGATGACATGGGGATACACGAAAGAATGCGTGCATAGACAAATTTTCTAACCTTTCTGCTCGTTCCTTAACCTTTTCAAACTTCGTATTAGTATTCTGCTTAGTTCACGATCACGTCTACATACACGATCTATAAAACGCTCGATATCTTTTAGTGTGGGTTTACCGCGAACGACGTGTGCATATTTTGTATGCTTTTTTAGCGTATTATAAACAATGTCTATACTCTTCATCCGCAATTAACCTATGTGCTCATTAGTCAAAGCGTCGCGCATGCGTCAGAGTCTAAAGGTTGCGCATGCGTGCTAAGGACTTGACCGCGATTTGCGACCGAACCAAAAAAAAACCAAGCCGGAATTTCAATTCGGGCGTTTCCTTTGGAAAGCCCGAGTAAAAATGGTGCGATTTGTGAATAAATCACATCAATTAGTACCAATCAGATTACAGGGACCACCAGTGATTTCAAAATGGGTGTAATTAACGGAGTTAAGTGAATATGATGTGATCTACCAACGAAGAAAATGTATCGAGTCGAAGAAACAGTTTTGGTCTCGGTCCTCATTTTTGTCAAAGAAATAAACACATACCGCTCAAAAAGATGATAATACGTGCAAAGCTGTCAATTATTTCTCGAATATTGTGCGTGTTAAATATTCAATAGTGAGATCTCATTTACATCTACATCTACTTTTATTAAGTTGGTAAAATCTGTACAGACATCACACCAATCAACTCGCGCGCAAAGTGAAAACACTATATGAAGGCTTAAAATTATATTAGAAACGATTTTGATATAGAAAGGGGCCAAGAATATTCCACAATAGTGCAAATAATCGTGAACGCTGATCGCGGAGAAGCGATTGCGTGACGCTCGTTAAGTCATAAGATGACATGTTATCACATGCCAGACGAAAAAACACTTTAAATTCTCATTCTGCATTTTTTACCCACTCTGCAGTTTACATTTTGTACCTGGTCTACATTTTGTATCCGGTCTGCGGTCTGCAGTCTGCAGTCTGCATTTTGGGTAAAATTTCCGCACAGCCCCATACTACATTATGCATTCAGTTTTTGGATAGAGGAAACAATGATAAAAAACAATATATTGTCGTTGGGAAAACAGATTTGTTTTACAATAGTATGAGGCTGTGCGGAAATGTTTTACCGCATTTTGTACTAACAGGTATCCGTAGCACCAATACAGTCAAAATACCTGTGTGTGAGTTAATTCTTCATTTTCGTTTTTTACTGCATAAATACTCTTTCCTTCTGTAAAAATGTAAACGCTGATCATGTATCAAAACTCTCTCACGGCAGTTTCTAGAAGCAACCTTTTAGGTTGACACTTTCAAATAATGTTGTAAATATGATAATAACTTTGATAATAATAACTCTACTAACTTTTGATGTTTTACTATATTACTGTCGCAAAACCTACCGACTCTTTCGTAAGTCCACTTACGCGAAGATTCGCCATATCGGTTAATATTCGTAGAAGGAAGTGTAAAACAGTTTTGAGTCACAATACTCTTTTGGCTGTTGAATTAGTTGTTGAATTCGTTACTCTTCACAGCTACTTGCTATGCATACCTGAGAACAATACTTCTAGATCTCTTAATCTATTTCTTGTGGGAACAAACCGGGCCTTTGTTTACAATTCACAGACCCAATGTTTCGACACTTCCTGTCTAGTACCTCCATCAGGGGTGATCTAAACGCTGCAACAAGAGGTCCTTTATTACAATCACTAATTAGCAGCCTTTTTCCTGACGAGGTGTAAATAGGTGTCAGGAAGTCAGCCGCCATCGTCACGACGATGGCAGCTACTTCAGAACAGCCAAAAAAACCCTTAAATTTCTCTTAATTTTCTGTCATAGCTTCAAGGACACCTAGTTAGGATAGCCCTCCTCTAAATTGCTCAAATACTGCATGGACCCTCTCAATTACAAACCAATGAGCAGTCGAGATTGTCAACATGATTTTAAATGTCTTCCTGTTTACTTAAGATCTGATGGGTACCTGCAAGCCCAAAGACTGTTTGTAGATTATTATCTGAGATTAGCTTTTGAGCCTCTTGAACAGATGTGGTATTCTTTAGAGCCTGTAGAGAATTTCTGAGGTCAACCATCAAAACATCAAAAAATATTTCAAACCACGGAAGCCGAAAAGGGACATTCAAAAAATATATTTTGCAAATCCTAAAAAATGTTTAGAATCAATATCTTTTTTAGACAAATCGCTTTTAAAAAGTTCGAGTTCGAGTTTAGGACATTTCGATTAGTGTATATTGTATGGTTATGGCCTATTTTACTGAGTATATGTACATAATAGAGTAATCTGTTGAACTCTTGTTGAAGGTTAACAGTTTTTCCCGCTCCCATTTTCAAAAGGTGGCGTCATAATTTACTTCTTCCTCATCAAACACTGTGTTTACTTCTCCCATTGTTATCTCCTCAGTCACAAGACCATTGGATGACGTATTCGAGGAGACTGGTGATGAAGGAGAGTTGGTAGAAGACATGGGCATTTTATCCTCTGTTATATAAGCGTGCACTGAAGTTTCTCCCATGTCGAGGGCCCTTTCCTTTTTTATCCATTCCTACAAGGAAAAGCGAAACAGGTCAATTATAAACGAGATGTTATTAAAAAACAAACAAACAAATAAAAACAAAAACGGGGCACAATGATGGCGTGACCTCGTCGCTTCAACATTACTTGTCTGACTAATTTACTACAGTGTAATTTAACAATTAACAACTGACTAATTTACTACAGAATAATTCGTCAGTTAACAACTGACTAATTTACCACAGAATAATTTACAAACTAATGATCAATGAAAAGTTTATACCTTGACTTCATCGTCGTACATTTTTACGCTCAAATCCATTTTTGTCTTGGGGCGTTTTCCAACGTAATGAACCTGCAGTGAAATGAAACGAGTGTACGTGAGTCACATAACAGTCTCAAACTGTATTGAAACAGTGTATCGACTAAAATACTACAGCCCAACAAGTGTAAAATTTATGAACAAGAA